TAGCTGTTTCCATTAATATATACTATTTCTTTAATAATGATGAGTGCTGACTTGGCTTCACAATTGTTTAAACTGCAACAGTAAATCTCTCTCCTTACTCTGTTGTTGGGAGAAATATCAATAGATGGTGTCGTCTTTTCTAACACTAACAGGGGGGAAATGATGTTCTGCTTTTGTTATTCCACTCAGGGTTTAATGTCAACCACTTGGATATTGCCCCTCGATATGCCAGCATACTGATGGGCATCTCAAACGGGGTGGGAACGTTATCCGGAATGGTGTGTCCTCTCATCGTGGGAGCCATGACCAAACACAAGGTAAAAAACATTCATTTGTATCGACTTTACAATGTCATTTTAAAAATTACAAACTCACCTGTTTCACACCTTTTTACATCATTTCAGACACGTGACGAGTGGCAGTATGTCTTCCTTATAGCTTCCCTCGTGCATTATGGAGGAGTGATTTTCTATGGTATGACTTGACTTTGACTATGATGTTTTGTGAGGCATCTTCAGAAGACCTCAGTCTAAATGCTGATCATATTTTTTTCTCACTAGGACTCTTTGCATCAGGAGAAAAGCAGCCATGGGCGGATATAGAAGACACCAGTGAAGAGAAGTGCGGTATTATCGATGAAGATGAACTGGCCAATGAAACCGAGGAAATGTACCGTGGAGGCGGGCAGTACGGGGCCATGAGCAAACCAGTGGTTGGTTCCAATGGAGGACAGACCGGAGGAGGAGGAGGCGGCGGAGGCGGAGGAGGCGGGCCTGGATGGGTGTCGGACTGGGATAAGTCTGAGGAGTATGTGCAGCCACCTGGATACAACTCGTACATGTATGGAGGAGAAGAGGAGAGGGAGCTGACATAGAAGATCGACATGATACAAGTTAAAAGAAAAAAACAAGATGGAGGAAAAAAGGAAGATTGTTTGGAAATGGATTGTAAGAGAGTCACTGCTGTACTGAATGGACCTGCTGTGTGATTTTGTACAATATTTACAATCGCACCTATCAAAAGTCTGCATCTGATTCATTCCTTTGTGTGTGTGTGTGTGTGTGTGTGTGTGTGTGTGTGTGTGTGTGTGT